TGTGTCTAAATGAACTAAAGAACTTTCTGGAACAAATATATAAAACAAAGCATGATGCTGTATGTTTTACAAATAAATTTCGCATATTTTGTTATAATAAAATAACAATAATATATTTTCTCTTCTGTGTACTTAAATGTTAAATTTTCATACAAAGACTAGTCTGATGCTCACCTCTCGCACAAAACGGCCGTCTGAACCTCCCGGGAAGATAGCGGTTTCCAAATTAATACCAATTTCATCACAGGTATTTTTGAAAGCGATCCAGTATGGATTAGACTCATCTAGTTTGGTATTCTTAATTTTGGGATTTTTCTCTTTGAAGGAATAGGTTACATCTGAACCAGCTTCTTCGCACCAGCGTTTGATAGTAGCTTCGAATTCGTCGTGATCAACAGAAGGCGTTATACGAATGTCGAACATAGCGCTGAGTTCAGTAGGTATAACGTTAGTTTGTACGCCACCCTATAAATAAAACATTTAATAGACTAAAATCGTAAAATATCAAAGATAGATAAGGAGTTTATTAGATAGATAAGGAGTTTGATGAAAACTTAAAATGGTAAAATAAAATCTTAATACAATTATAAAGCAAGGATTAATAAAGTAAAAAGTTGTATGGTATGATCAATGTTAATTGTAAGACTTATTAGAACACAGAATACTTACTGTGGAATATAAAAATCCCAATGAACAGACATATAAAATAAACAAGTATCATGTAATGACTTGAAAATTAATTTATTTGCTTTTTTTGAGATTTTCTTTTGAAATTTTCTTTTCAATATTTATTAGCATTCATTGAATTCAATATAGAATAGTGTTTATACAAGGGCAATGAGTTTGTTGCACATTAACAGTGCAACAAACTTTTTTAATTTATAATTTAAATTACATCTCACAGAATCATCTTCAGTGGACGCATAATTTATTTTACTAATACATATTAATAACCTGTTTTATCTTCTTTCGTCAGTTAAAATGCTGCTCAATTATTGCGATTTCTGATTATGTAACTCAGAATGGTCCATGGACATTGTAATACTAATCGTAAGTGCCAATAAGTTTTTTTTATATTATAGAAACATGAACTTGAAATTGTGTATGACATTCTATTTGGAAATGTCTCAATGTTTCTGTCAACTTCTAAATATTATAGAATGTCACACACAAATTCAAGTTCATGTTTCTATAACAAAAAAATTTTTACATTCAGTTACCATGTTCATGGATTACCACATTCGAGTTATATGATCACAGTCACAATAATTAAGTAGCATTTTAACTGCTGAATGAAGACAAAGACTGGTTATTAATATGTAGTAAGTTATGTCTACTGAGAATAGTTACGTGAGAATCAAAACATTTGTAATAAATATAATTTATATTGTAAATTAAAAAACAGTTTGTTGCACTGTTGTGTAATGCTCATTGCCTTTGTATACTTTATTTTTAAATTTGCATTTTATTAGCTTTTGGAAACTTTATTTAATTTAGCATAGAATCTTATTTAATATTTTATATTCTTATTCATGAATTCATCTAAATGAAAAAAATTACAACAATGATTTTTAAATATAAATGCTCTTATAAATTACATCTTTTAGATGGTTTTTTTTAACGAAAATGATACATTTTTGCTCGATACCTACCCAAACTTTCGTAAGATTTACAGATGTCACTCCGCCAAGAGTAATCGCTAATTTTCTAGGATCTGTACTTAATTTTGCTTTTTCGGAGGCTCTGAAGTCTGTGAAACGATCAATTATAACTCTTAATTTTTCCCCAGCCGTATTGTCCAACATGATGGATCCATGACCGGGAGTGCCCGCGCACTTTATTTCGACATGCCAAATCGATCTTTCTCCATAAAACATGTAAAAGTTCTCAAATGGGCCAGCCACACCTTCATCCAGGGCGAAACCGACGTTCAAAGCTTTGAAGTCTGCAGTGTGCACAAAGGCTTTCATTCCGAGAACACCGCCTATCTCCTCGTCCGGGACGAAAGAGATGTGGATAGTACGTTGGAAACGTTGTCCGTTCAGTTTCAATCTACGGATCGCCTCCAAATATTGTATTGCCACACATTTCATGTCCTGGCTGCCGCGAGCGTAGATGTCGCCTTGCTCGTCCATGTGTGCGCTGAATGGCGGATAGGTCCATTTGTCCTAAATCAGTTATATACGGTTAGTATTGAGAATTAACAAGTTGATCAATGTAATTATTGTGTGAACAATAATTACATACATACTAGGGCGTGTTCGGATTCCCAGGTGCTCCTCCACCCTATGGATTTCTAAGGGGGCATCCTAAAGAACATTCAAAAAATATCTCTATATCCTAAGGATGTTCTTTGAGATGTCAGAACGTCCCTCGAAAAAAAAGTGTACTATGTGATGTTAATCTTTCTTGTTTATATGGAGATAATATCTATTTTTTATTGCTGCACTTTCTGATCTGGTACAGTGCAGTAAGTTGGAAGTGAAACAAATATATGTTTGTTTCACTTCAACTTATTGCATCGGTTTAGAGTAATAAAAAACAGACCTTCGATAAACAACAAGAATGGAATAAAATCTGGTATTCAGATGGGAATCTGAACATAGGCCTGAGAAAAATGTCTGATTGGATTAACTGAAATTCTGATTGAGAATAGACGAATCAGAACTTTCTAAAGTCTAAATCTACCAGAAGTCTAATTGAGGTAACTGGAACTGTGATTGATATGGCTAGAATCTTTTATCAAATTCAGAATCCTCTATATAATTCATTAAATTCTGAATCTTATTCTATCAAATTCAGAGTCTTCTATCTAATTCCATCCATTTTCAAGATATTTTTCTTAATGCAATAATATACATCTGCAACATCTTTACCATAAATCAAAATACTTACTTCGAAAACAGGTACAACGTCCATGTGACTGTTCAAGAGAATCGATTGTTTCGTAGGATCCGTTCCCATCCATGTTAAAACCACAATCGGTTTTTTAGGATGTACGTGATAAATTTTAACTGGTAAGTCGAGAGACTGTGCTTGTCTAGTTATGAACTCCACACATTCATCTGAAATGAAAAACACAGTATATTAGATTGTATTAGACATAAGATTTTATATGGAAACTTTTATCTAATTCATGAAAAAAGGAGAGAAAAGACATATCTGGAAAGGGAAGGTAAAGATAATGAAAAAATCAATCATAAGAGAGGTACAATCAGTGGAAAGAGATAATAATAGTGTGTAGAGGGTTCAAAAGAAATAAAAGTATGTATAATAAGCAGATAATGATTATAGGTATGGTTAGGGCTGTGATTGTCATATTAAATTTAGTTGATAGTATTAGAATTAGATATGGAATAAGAGCTAAAAAATTGCGAAGGAAAGAATGATAAAATAAAAGATATAGAGAGAGAACTATAATAGATGCTTTAGATAGCAAGAAGTAGCAAAAAAAGGAGGTATGTAGCAACATGAGATATGGATAAGTGAATGAATTAAAGTTCTATATGTAAACCTTAATAAGTTTAAACTTTTCTTGATTGTGTATACTGAAGTGTAATAAAATTTTATTCTATACTTTTATCTAATTTATTCAATTATCAGGATTTAAAGAGCTTTTGTAAAAATTAATTGTAAGTTAAATTAAATAATTTCTTACTATGTTCAAAACTTGCAATTTCGGCAGTAATTGGTGTAGCAATTCTATATAATTTAGACTCTAATTCAGTTTATTTATAAATAAGAAATCTAAAATGTTATTGAGAAGACAGGACTTAAATTTTTTTTAACTGTAAATTAAATAAAATATCTTACAATATTTAAAATTTGAAAGCTAATCGATGAAAGCATCAATTTTACTTAATTTAAGTTCTAATTCAGTATGTTTATAGATAAGAGAACATCTAAAATACTGAACTAACTTAAATGTTGTTTTTTTTTTTCAAGTTCAATATTTTATAAAGTAATTTTCCCTGTTATTAAATAATAAAATGACACAACAGTATTATAACAATAATAATGATCACATCGCGGAAATTAATGCTGATACCTTCCTTCTGAGGCAATCATGTGATAATCGCGATAAGAGACGAGGCACTTGCTGAGAGATGGTAATTGACTCTATTATCAATTGCAGTCTCTTATCTATTCCATCAAGAGGTCAGGAGATCTGTTATTTTTCCATGTGCATATCAAGAAATAACGAGTCGTAAAATGTGTCGCGACACATCCGCAAATCAGGCCGCTATATCGTATAGATTCAAGAAACGCGAAATCTCGTCGACCGGGACGTTACATAATCAGCTTCCACATTTTCACCGATCGTCGATTCGCGATTCGGGATAGCTTCTGCCCTCGAACCGGCAGAATCATTTCGGGAATCACGATGGGAACGCAAAGTGCCGGGCCGTGTGCCCAATCTGGGTCGGCCACCATTGAGTCGCCACGACGTCGCCGTCCGATCAGCAGGAGGACGCCCGTGACCGGTTTTGGGGACATCGCGGAACAACTCGGCGAGGTCAGCAAGGCGCCGCGACCGGATATAGGGGAATAAAAATAGAAATAACATCACACGCGTAGGGTGGGGCAACGCAATGGCTGGATAGCGTCACCGACGCTATCCCCTCAATTCGTTACCTCGCGAACATCCTCGCCTGTCGCGGGAGCGCGTCGACCGATTCCCACGGGCGAACAAGCGACGCCGATCACGAGGAACTCCCCCTCGTCGTCGGTAAATCGCACAATTTATCTAACGAGGAAACGCGTCGTTGAGCGGCGTGCTTCGCGACCTCGTTCGCAAACGTGGCCGGTCGGCGTGGGTCCCGCTTTTTCCTACTTTTTTTTACACAGGACACGCACAAGTCTCGCGCTTTCTCCCATTTATACGCTTCTGAATTTACAATCTCGACTTAGACCAACTTAGACGCTGGACGCGACGCGAACTAATCCACCTTCGCCGCTGGACGCTTTTAGACGCGCGCGTCAGATCTCTCTCCTCCCCCTCGTTTCGCGTTTCACCCATTTTTCGAAAATCTTATGGAATCTCAAATCACACATGCCCCCCCGCGATCGCTCACCATAGTTGATGTCCGGCTGCACCGACGGTATCCGCAAGTACTCGCGGAAATTCTCCACAGCTGTTTCGTCCAGTTCGATCTGTGACATCATCGTTCCGAAATGGTCCATTCGCTTGTTGCCTTGTCACCGCTTGTGCTTCTTGTTCTTACCCTTGTGATCAATGCTTCCTAATGCCTGATCGTCCGTCCGTTCGCGCTTAACGTCCAGACGCCTACCGTCAGCGATCGACTGTCACAAGCAGACAACGGTGAGCAGCGTCAAAGCTCGAAGCAAAGTCTCCGGCGTACCGTCGCGGCTGGAATGCCGCCGTCGCGCGCGACCACACCGCGGCCACGGCTCGCCCAATTGCCGCCTGTTACCGGCGTTGACGTCACAGCGACGCGCTCGAATCGAATAGCGCGGTTAGTAACAGGCTCCCATGCGCTCGGCACGACATCGCGTCCGCCACGTCGGAGAAGCGTCTCGCCGCGCCGATCCGGCGTTTAAAATCACGACGCGACACCACGCGGCGCGGCGCGGCGAAGTGATATCACTCTTGCCCCGCTTGCTACTTCTATCACTTTCCTTTCATCCGATTCTGGAGAAAAATGTTAGTACACGCTAGAATTTCAGTACACTCTAAATTTTTGAAAGTGAAATTTCATTCCCAAAGAATGAAATAGTTGCGTCCGACAGGAATGGAATTTTCACTCTTGGAGAATGAAGATCACTCCAAATGAGAGTCAATTTTTAATCTGTGTGAATAATTTCACTCTTCGAAGGGAGAGAAATTTCACTCTGATAAATGTTAAATTTAACCTCTCCCCATATCTAATAATTGAAATTTCATTCTGATAAATGTTAAATTTAACTTCTCTATGTCTAATCTAAAAATGATTAAGCTCATTCGACATGCACAAAACGAACGAATTATTATGGCAGAATATTATGGCAGAAAAAAGTTCTGTCGCGAAGCGAGATATTAATCAAGTTGATTTTTTTAGATCAAGAAATTTTCTTCTGAAGGAGTAAAATTCACTCGTTGTCGGATTGGCGCAACTATCACTTTTCTTGGAGTGAATTTTTACTCTCAAAAATTTAGAGTGTAAATTTTATGGAATTGACAGGTTCATTATATTCTCTAAAATTGTTAGACTATGTTCGAAAGTATTACTCGAATATTATTATTTTATCTTTGTTTAAAAACAATGAACAAAAAGAATACTCGATACTAATGTTTTCAATCACAGATGAGGCTGTCAATGAATCTCACTCTGAAGAGTGTAATTTTTATCTTTATCTTTAGAGATTGAAAATTGAACAACTCTTTTTCAAAACTGACTCAATTTTCACTTTTTATGTGAAATTCTATTCCAAACAATTTAGAGAATAGAGATAGCTGCCCATATATTTATACAGAATTTACTTTAATTTAAAAGTTTCTCAAAATTAAAAAGCATCTCAATAAAATTTATTTCATTGACGAGTATTTTTTATCTTATCACTGACAAAATTTACTTTAATAAAAGATGCAAATGTATAAAGTTTTGAGAGCTGTTTATGTTTACGTAATCTTGAAAATAGATTTATTTTATTATAAGGTAATAATTACTTGAATGGATTTATTACAAATATAATATACTTTCAGACAAGTAAAGTTTGTCATAAGTTCGGCAAAAATAGCCAGAATATTTTTACTAAAACTTGTAAAAATACTCAACCAACTTCTTCTCCGCGTGATTCCTGATAGACTTTGTAGCAGTAGTTTCATTGGTATCATCACTTGTATGTACTGGTATCTTCTCTTTTTATTACTTAATTTTCTAACTTTATCATGTTGTGCAATAAAAGTATTAAAGATATCATTCTTTCTGCTCCTCGCTGGCATCATCGAAGTAGCGAGAAATGCAGAGACAGAACAAATTTTGCGTTCTCTCTTCCTCATTTCAAATACAAATTTCTGAAAAATTTGCGACAATATCTGATATTTTCGCAATATTTTCGGTTTATGTTTTTACTAGGAATGATTGTTGATTAGCTTTTTCTCTAAAGTCTTATTGACGATTCTCGCTATCGTTAACTCATGTTAAACAACGGTAAGGATAATTCTGGAAAAACTGCAACTCTTATTGGTTATCGCTAGTTAATGATATTGATAATTAATAAGACATTAGAGAATATTACTATTTATCTCTCTTGTATCTATAATGTCAAAAACATTCCGGTATATCTGTTTTAGCAATGTAGATAATTCTCTTTTATCTTTTCTAAAATTTTTAAGAGAGATTCTCACTCTAAAGAAAAAAATCTCACTCTTAAAGACTGAAAATTGAATTACTCTTTTTCAAGACAAGCTCAATTTTCACTTTTTAAAATAAAATTCCACTTCAAAGAATTTAGCGATAATTTATTTTTTATCTTTTTCTAATTCCAATGCCTGTTTCCACTAATGATAGTTCATTCTTGGTTTAAGGCTTCTGTAGTATCACAACCTGTAATCATTACAACTATATTAAATCATTTAAGTAATGTCATGAATAAATAATCGTAAAAAGTGGAAAACACATAAAATAAATTACTCATGTGCTCTGAATAAAAGCACTTAATACCTTTTATCACCTTTTACGATTATTTATTAACTAATAAGGGAGATAAATATAATTTTCGTCCATTTTTACAAGTGTTTTAAAACAATTTCATCATTTTGTTTGATCTAAATTGTCTTCATTTATAAATGATACGTAAAAATTAATGTGTTATTTCTCGCTTCTGATGTCACGATTTAATATGGTTGTGGTACTCAGGCGCCTTAACTGTTAACAAATTTGGCCATTTGTACTTGTGTACATTAGTATACACTAAAAGTTGTTACACATGATATTAGCAACATTAAATGTAAAAACATACAAATATATTTTAAATGAATAAATACTTAAGAATGATTGTCACATTATTTAACAGAATATACACATATTATTTTATTGTCAAAATTGATTATGTCATTGTATTTAGATACTATAAAGAAACCTTTAATGTGTTTTTATCTAGTACGATTGTCCGAATTCATCATAATTTTTTATCTTTTTCTAAGAATTAAAACAAATGAAGAGCAAGTTAAATCGAGATTAAATTTAATCTACATTTTTTTGGAAACGGATATGAATTGAAAAACGATAAATTAATCTGAGATTAAAATTCATTTACATTGCTAGAAATGGGCTTTAGCGAGAATCAACTTAGATCAGTTTTTAAAATCATTTTAGTCGACCAACTAAAAGCATCAAATCTACAATATAAATATAAATATAACGTATAATGTTACATAACACCAATTATATTGGTGCAAAATTATAACAGATAGATATTACGTCAATCTTTTAATCAGTCGATTGGAATGATTGTTGAATACTCCCAAAGAATCCTTCAAAAGAAAAATGCACAATATTTGTATACTGCTGCAAATTGTAAATTATTAAATTATAATAATAAACATAAAAATATCAAAACACACTTTATACAGCCATAATTTTGAGCAAGAGATAATATTACAAATTATATTCTCTATTAATCTTTTACATGCCTATCGAAAGAGATGTTTTATCGAAAAGAATAAATAAATAATAGTTTCGAAACCATAATTATTAAACACTCTGTAAAAGTTTTTTGAAATGCAAAAAAATGTGATATTTACACAACATTGTAATTAGCGAATTTCGATAATGTAAAAAAAGTATGTAATTTTTAACAGAGATAGTGCTGGCAAATTGCGTACAATCGCAGCAAGCATTCTCGGAGATAGCAGATCATAATATATAACGTATATGTTTGTTTATTGTTGAAGAATCAAAATAAAACTAAATAGATAAGCTCTTATTATCTGCGATAGTAAACAAGTGCGATAGTAAACAATTAATATCCTATCTATGCTAATTTTCACTTTTAAATGATTTTATTAGGTGTATTAGGATGAGAGCGATAGTCGCTCCAATCGTGGAAAAAAACCATGAATTTTTTTATCGCACAATAAAGATAAGAAGGCGATAAGGGCCATCAGTCAACTCGACTAGTAAAATGTATTCCGATTTATTAAATTTTTTTCACGTATGCCTAAATATGAACTCTTTACACGTTACGCCATAATAATATATCGTGTGTAGAGTTTGATATCGAAGAACTTGTTACATTTATTATAATCGGTAATATGGATTAAATTATCATACAATGTAATAGGTAATAATTGTAACATGGCTATAACTAGGCACATACATGTAACAGTGAATTGCAAATAAAAAAATTATCGTGTATTCTCAGCCTATTATATAATGATTGAATATATATATGCGAATATAATATAATATTAATATAATATAA